CTCCACCCTTTATCAGCTCTGCCTTCTCTTCTTTTCATTTTATCTGAAGTTTTTGGTATTGAATATAATGGGCTTCACTAAGCAAATGTACTATATTTTCCCCTAGTGGGTAAGCTTAGTTATTTTTACATCAGTGAGGTCTTCAACAACTTTAAAATGTAAAAATTAAGTATCCTCATACCCTTATATTTGGTGCACTAGTTTCTGTTTTTCTGAGTCTCTCACCCAAACAGAGGGATATGTGTCCTGTGCTACCCACATTTAGGGTCTTCCCATTGCATCACAGTCTGGAAACTCTGTCACATGAGTGCACAGAGCATCTCTCTCTTTTTTTTTCATGATGATTGTAAATCTTATCTAGTTGATAGTCAAGACTAGCCATAACAGGATTCCCCACCCTGTTCCTGCCCCCTTCGTATTTAAATTGTTTTGTTATAAAGACTTATTTGAAATAGTGCACATAGATACCTGGAAGAGGCAGCCCTTTCAGTGTAGTTACAGGCAGTCACAAATTGTTTTAGGAATAAAAGAGAAGTTTAGCTGTGCTTCAGCCTCCTCTGTTATGACGTGCATGGTCATTTATTTTCTAGGAACCACTATCATTAAACTTGAAATTATGTTTGGCTTACGGGGTCCACATACAGTTATAACTGAGCAATAAAAGCCATCCGGTCAGGGCTATTGAGAAGGTTCTGCAGTTAAGAACACACATTGTTTTTCAGAGGACCCTGGCTCTGTTCTCAGCCCTTCTTTTCAGTGGCCAGCAGCCACCTGTAGCTCCAGCTCCAGGGCATCCTAAACCCTCTTCTCATGGTGAGAGCACCCACAATCTCACACACTGAAAAGAAACTTAACCTGCCGCAGTAAACGTTTGAGTAAAACTTAAAAAGTAAAACTTACCATTGTTTTTCTTTGACACACTGCATGTTTATGTAATGAGTTCTGGTTATTCTTATTGTCTCAGTTAGGATTTCTATTGCTGTAATGAAATATCATGACCAAAAAGCTAGTTGGGGAGATAATGGTTTATTCAGCTTATACTTTCATATTGCTCTTCATCACCAAAGGAAGTCAGGATGGAATTTAAGGAGGGCAGGAACCTGGAGGCAGAAGCTGATGTAGAAGCCATGGAGGGGTGCTGCTTACTGGCTTGCTTCCCCTGGCTTACTCAGCCTGCTTTTTTATAGAACCCAGGACACTAATTTAAAAAAATACCTTACAGATGGATCTTAGGGGGAGGCATTTTCTCAATTGAGGCTCCTTCCTCTGTGATGACTTTAGCTTGTGTCAAGTTGACATAAAACCAGTCAGAACAACTGACCCCTTGTCAGCGTGACACACAAACGTAGCACACAACTCTTTCTTATCCCTAAGATCTCACATTAAAAACATAAACAACTTTAAAAGTCCCACAGTCTTTGCAAATAGAAACACGTTAACATCTTAGTCCCTTTAAAATAGCCGGTCTCTTAAAATTTAAAGTCTCTCAACTGTAGGCTCAAGTAAAATAAAAAAAAGAAAAAAGAAAAAACAAATACTTTCTTACTTCAAGAGGGAAAAATCATGGTATAGCCACAATCATATCAATTCCACCCATCCACTGTCTGGCCATGATCTTCAGGGCTCCTCCAAAGGGATTGTGTCACTCCTCCAGCACTGCTTTCTGTAGTACACACAGCTTTACTGCTAAGCTCCGGCAGGCTCCACTCCACTGCTGCTGCTGTTCTTCCTTGGTTATCCCATGATACTGGCATTTCCAAAGTGCTGGGCACTTTCTTCAGCAGTCTCTCAGAGGCTCTCTTCCTAGTCCCAAGACTCAGCTTCTTTTCGTGACCCCTTCAGTCCTGGGCCTTCAACTGCCACTGAAGCTGCACCTTCACCCATGGCCTCTCCTGGTCTCACAGTGCTAAGCATCAGCTGTTCCCTGTGACCCCTTTATGCCTTCCAAACCAGTATCACCTGGGTGACTCTTACACATAACCAAGTCCAGTTGCCAACACAAGGTACAATTCTTGGCTGCCCCTGGAACACAGCTTTTTATGCTCTCAGGAAACACCTCCCAGAAGATTTTACTTCAGTGATGTTGGTCTCTCTTTTCTTAACCACCTTTAATTTCTTAGCTCCAGCTAGCTAGCATCAGTTGTCCCAGTAATGCAAAGATTTCACTTCAGTGGTACTGGTCTCTTGTTAACTTTGGTTGATTCTTCAGCCCCAGCTGACAAGAATTACAGAATCTTAATTTAAAATAGCAAATAGTTCTGGTAGAGTCTTTAAATTTCCCTTTGGAATTTCATAAGCCAACTTGCTTTACATGGCTTGCTCAGCTTGCTTTCTAATAGAACTCAGGATGACTAGCCTAGGGCTGGGGCTTTCCCCGTTGATTGATACTTAAGAAAATGCCTTACAGTGGGAACTTATAGAGATGTTTTCTCAATTGAGGCTTCTTTCTAATGACTCTGGCTGGTGTCAGGTTGACACAAAACCAGCAAGTACACTTTCCTACCTCTCCTTGACCCCTGCCATTGTTTGTACTTTTGAAAAAAGAATCACTGGATATAAAAGTATGAAAGGTAGTGGAAATGTGCTTAAGCTTTGAAAATTCTTTTATTTCTTTTTGCCTGTTCAGGGAATTTCTAATTTAATTTGTTTCTCACCTAGCGGACCCAAGCAGTGAATGTGAGAAGGTAGAATTTGTGAACCTGGTGCTGCTCTTCTGTGAGTTTATCCGCCACGATGTCTTCTCCCATGATGCATATATGTGCACCCTCATCTCTCGAGGAGATTTGTCGGTTACTGCCTCCACAGGGCTGCGATCACCAGCGGGAGAGAATTCAGATGAACACTATTCAAAGGACCATGATATGAAGATGGAGGTATCTCTAGGGTGACACGCATACTGTATCCCGAAGTAAACTCCCCTGGGGTGAGGCCCATACTGTATCCCAAAGTAAACTCCCCTGGGGAGTCCGTTTCAGATGGGCATTTTCATGATGGAAAGATAACTGGGTTTAAGGTACTTCTCTCTCTACAAAGTTTATCTCTCCTCCACTCACAAAGGACATGTGTCTTTTAGAATTCTGTGGGTGGTGTCGTTAATGAAAGGTTAGGACTGGTCGTAATTGGGGTTTTTTTTTTTTATGAGATTGAATCGATATGCTTTTAGTTTTCCATGTGTGTAGCCTGAAATTTTCTTTTAATTCTGTGTTTCACAAATGAACTTGTTTTCACAGCAAACTCCTTTGGCTTTGTTTTAAGGGACATCTCCATATACCACTCTTTTACCCATAAAAAGAAAGCCCTTGTTCTTAATAACACACACTTTCTTTGCAAAACTTAATCTCCATTTCTAAACCAGGGTAGAATTGTTCTCTGCAGCAGTTTATGCTGTGGCTATGATTTTCTGTTAGGTGCTGGTAGTTTAGTTATTATTCCAGATTTTAAGATTCCAAGATAAAAAGATTTAGGTGACAGTGGGAGTCTGGAAAATGATGAGAGTCTGATGGTGCTCAAAATAGAGATTGATTTTGGTTGTTTAATATGAGTTTACAGATACTCTTAGGACATGCTTAAAGCTGTGACTATATTTGTTTGTTTTTAAAAGCGTCTCACTTTTCTTTTTTATTTTTAGATCTTTAGGTTTCTTAATTTTTTTTTTAATAATGGAATTTTTTATTCACTGGAAACCCAGTGAAATAAATCGTGGCCAGTTTGTTTTAAATTATGAATCTTTCTGCTCTTCCTTTAAAACATCATGAGAGTCAAAGCTTTGTTTCTCCCAGGGGAAGGAGTGTGATTCTTTAAAGCAATACATGTCTTCAAGTTTCCTTTAAATTCTTCAAGAGAAATAGTCAGGGGTAGCAAAAGATAGGATGCTGAAAATCCTCTTCCTGTTTCAAATTCCTTTTCTTAAACTACAGCGTTTACAACATGGCTTTCTTTCTCTGGCCGTTACCAGGAGCACAGCGTTATGGCGCACATGGGCCTTGGCTCAGGAACCACTAACATTTTTGATGAAGTAGACAAGAGTGACTTTAAAAGTGACTTTGGTTCTGAGTTTCCAGTAGGTTCAACCTTCGATTCTCCTTCCCTGTTAACTCTCCCCTCCCCAGCTTGTCTCCATCTCTTTCTTGCTTGCCACGTGTATTGGAATGACTCATCCCTGTGCTGTCCCTGTCACAGTGACCTGTGGTTATCACGTTATCCTCACTGTGGGGTTGTATTGCCTCCTCTGTAAAGTGTTACACTCCTGTCCCAGCTGATTAGCTGTGACACTTTTATTTTGGGATTGTGCTGTCTAACGAGTGTGGGAGTGTAGTGTCACTATGACCATCTATGCATTGAATTTCTAAAGAATATTCTTATGGATAATTCATTTTCCTACAGTCAGTATAATGGGTTTTTCACGTATCTTGATGTTGTTTATCAGACCATTGTTTGTTTGTACATTTTAAAGCATTTGTCTATGGCTTAATCTTACTGAGTATTGTTAAGTGTGTGTTTTTGGAGGAAATGTAACCCTTTGAGGATAACATTTTTAAATTTGCTTACATGACCAGTCCTCTGGTTGGTTTTTCATTTTCCCATTTTCTCAAGGAGAGGGCTGATACTGATAGATGTTTTTGCCTGTGATTTAATTTTGTGGACGTTAATAACATTTCTGCCTATCTTTTTCATCAGCTATTTTGTGAGCCTTTTTGTTTGAAGCTCTGGTATATGTGGCTTGGTGTTGCTTTTTTTATTTATGACATTCAACATTTGTTTTACATGACATAGATTTTTTCTCCCATGCCTGGAGAATCCTGTGAGAACATCAACCCTTCCTTGAGCAGAAGAATGTCAGTCAATGGTGAGAAACTGCTAAAGAGAGAAAAACCAAGAGAATTAATTTTCCCATCAAATTATGACCTCCTCCGACACCTACAGTATGCAACCCACTTTCCTATACCTCTGGTAAGCCACATTTCCATCACTGTGTACTATGATGATTTTATAAGGCCGTCAGTGATCGACTGTCAGGCTATCCACATGCTCCTGTGGTTATTATAAGGTCATTAGTGACTGGCGGTCAGATTGTCCATGCACGCCTCTGCTTACACATAATGACATCATGGCGCAGAGCAGACTGTGTTTACTGCTCTGATGGCTCTAATCTGGATCATATAGCCAGTGTGCAGATACAGCATGAAAAGGTGTGGTGTGATATTAGTGACTAATAGATTTGATAGAGTTCCCTGTCTTAATATCCTTTCGTCAAAAGAATTCGAGTCACTGTGAATAATGTCTAAATGTTTTCTCTACTTCAATTTAAAGGTCATTTGCTGATTAGTTTTTACTTGTCCTGTTTTGACTGTTGGTGCTTTTGACATTTTACAGATGAGTAAGATTTTGGGGGGCATAGGAAAAGTGAGTAAGGAACAGGATGGTGCATGAAGCACAAGTTCTTCTGACAGTGAAGCAGTTGGGTAAAAACCTCAGTGCCCACGAAAAGGCGAGCTTTCGACATCCACGGGTCCCCTCCATTCTCAAAGGAGTATTGGAGAGAAGGACCATTGTCACCACAGGTGGACTGGATGATGACAGATGGTGTGGGTGGGATGGAGTGGACTTGGCGTGGTGGGCTGAGAGCTGGGATAATATAGCAAGAGAACTTGGCAGGGAACTTAGTGCTGCAGGCTTGTAGTGAAGTGTTTATCCCAAAGAGGAACCATAATAGTTCACATATTAGTCATGAATGTTAGGCTAAAGGCTCCAACATTTTTAATTTACAGGTAAACTTTTTCTTGCATGCTATATTTTGAACACTGTTAGAAGTTTTGATCAGTAAGCTGAGTACTTTGTTAAAGCTAAATATAGTTGATATTTTGGAACATCCTCCAAAATGACTCAAACTCACTAAGTCCATATTTTTTGTCTTATGACAACTAAAAACTCCTTTTTGTTTGTTTCCTTGTACTAGGCAGAAAGTTTACAAAATTTTTCCTTGTTCATCTCAGAATATTGTCACTAATTTTCTATGGTTCTCGATGCCGCCAATATTCAATACAACAGAATAATCTGGCAGTTCATTTATGTTAACAGAGAGGTTGAAATTACATATCACAGATGATTCTGACACATTCATGGGTGAACTGTTATGTCTGTTTTAAAATATGAAATGTAAAATAAATAAACTTTAAAGCCCAGAGTTTATTCATTACTAATTCTGCAATATTAGCTTCTTCATTGTAATAAACATACCATGGTATAGTCATATGAGACATTTTTAATAGTAGGGAACTGGGTCCAGGAACTCTGTACAATCTTCATAACTTTGTTAGATACCAGAAAGCACTCTGAAGAACACAAAGCTTATCAAACAAATATAAAAAGATCAAAGGGGAGGTAGAGCCTGTACAGTGAGTGTGGAAGTCACTGAGAGTTGCCTGTGCTGGTCTGTGTAAGCAGAGTTTGCACTCTGTCTTCTCTGTGTTTCTGGGATCGGAATAGGTACCAACAATCAGCTTTTCTGCTCTGTTGAACACATGACTTTAGAGGAAAGTGCTTGATGACATCTCTTGACAGTTGTTGTCGGATCTAAGTTTTATTTTTATTTCATTTTTGTGCCTAGTGATGTAAGGTGTATAGTTGTGCACACACGTGTGCACACAGATGTGTACACCGGTGCACATATTTACAGGGGCCAGAGGAGTATGTCCTGTTCTACCGTTTTTTGTCTTCACTATTGACACAGGTCTCTTACCGAAGCTGGAAGTAGGCTGGTGGCTAGTAAGTCCCAGTGATCTTATCTCTGCTCCCTACCGTTCTGGGGATACAGGAGTGAGTGACAATTCCTGGATTTTTATATGGATTCTGATGTCAAAACGTGGGTCCTCGTGTTGCACAGGAAGCCTCCTTACCTGCTAAGCTGACTTTATATAGTTTTTAGTTAGCTTTTGTCCTGATTTTTTGTGACAGAGATTATCACCAAAAGCAACTTGGGGAAGGAAGGGTTTGTTTCATCTTATAGATTATAGTACTTCATGCCAGGAACTGAAGCACAGACCATGGAGGATGCTGGTTACTGGCTTGCCTTGTCTGGTTTGCACAGCCAACTTTCTAATGCCCAGGAGAGGTACTGCCCACAGTGGGTTTGCCCTTTCCCCATTAATCACTCTTCAAGAGAATGCCCATAGGCTTGCCTACAGGCCAATCTGATGGAAAATTTTTCTCAATTGTTCTTCTTCTAAAATGAATCCAGCTTGTATTAAGTCATTGTGAAAACCTGAACAAGCACAACTTTCCACTACTGATGTATTTAAGGTCCCCTTTCCTAATAGGCATAATTGTGAATAAATCAAAAGGAAAAACTTAGGCTAATAAAACATTTACCTTATATTGAGAGTCTTTTTCCTTCTTACTAGGAGAAATATGCCTCTTGTGCATGAGAAGAAGAGAATATAAGAATATGGCTAAAAATGTCTTTTTTTTTTTGGCTAACTTCTATGTTACCTTTGTAATTAGAGACCAAGGGGGGAGGATGATGGGATACTTAAACAAAAATAATAGCCTTGTATATACTGTGTCATGGCTGTTTTGATCTTCTCATCAGAAAACACATTATTTAGGTCCCCAACAAGTGCAGGTTTTATAGTGTCTGTGTTCTACCAACCTGTAACCTGGCAAGAATTTGTTCAGTGTCAAACTTGACAAACTCACTGGCATTCCCGTTACTGTCTCTAGAAATTACTGTTAGAAGTTTCTTTTTAATAAAGGAGACAATTGGTCTTCTTTCAGTTATTTACTTCAGACTAAAAATATATTTGTGAACTTACACATGGGACTTTGAAACTCATTCTTCAAGTACAAAAATAACATTTTAATCAAACATATTCTTGGCATCCAGGAGCACATTTATATTCCCTCTATCTCTCCACTCCTGCTACTTCATCTCTCCTCTTTTCCACCTCCCTCCTCCTTCATCCCTCGTGTGTGTGTGTGTGTGTAACAGTCTGGCTATAAAATCTATACTGGCTTGTATTCCTTTTACCTCAGTTGGTCTTACAGGCATTTGCTCCCACGTTCATTGCAGGATCACTCTAATTACAACAGCTACTGCAATAGAGTATTTACAAAAAGATGTATTTAATGTGTGTGCATGTGAGTTCCCGCATGTATACGCGTGTACCACATGCATGCCTGGTGCCAGCGGAGCTGAGACGAGGGTGTAGTAACCCACTTGGATCTTTTCTGTAAGTGGAGTTGCAAGCAGATGTGAGACTCCTGATGTGGGGTGCTATGGACTGAACCTGGGTCCTCTACAAGAGTAGCAAGTGCCCTTAATCATTGAGCTATCTCTCTGACCCATTTCTAACTGCTTTATGTGGATATTTGTAGTCTGTGTGTAAAAACACACACACAGGAAAAAAATACACACAGAGGAGCTGGGTTTCGTAGCATGTGTCTATAATTCTAGAACTTGGGAGGTAGAAGGAAGAAGATCAGGAGTTTGAGGTTATTTTTGGCTATATAGTGAGCTCAAGGCTATTGTGAGCTACAGGAGATCATGTCTCAAAGAAAAAAACAGAGAACTAAACCAAAACACAAAGTCCAAAATCTCATGTATGCTTATCAGTATTTTTCCTGTTGTTTTAGTAAGTCTTTTATTTAATGCCATTCCTCAAAACCTGTGTATTTACTGGCAGTAGAGAGGATCTGGTCAGTGATGGGCTGACTTGTACTTTGTGTTGCAGATTCATTCTGGTTGGCCTTGTCTCTAGATTTGAGAGGCATCCATGGCCCAACATTGGCTATGTTTCTAACATGGCCTACTGATGTAAGTCTATGTGTCTATTTTAAGATTCTTTGGCTGGCGTTATTTTTTTAATACCTTTGATGTAGATTTTTACTTCCAAAACAGTTTCAGTAGTTAAAGTAATTTAGTAGCTTCCTTATATTGTAAAAAAATATACTTTTTTTACAATATAAACAACCATGTATTTACAAATGCCTCTTAAAATTAATTAGGTATAAGCTCTCATTTTATAGACCAGGATGACCTGCAGTTCACTTTGTAGCCCATGCTAGCCTCAAACTCATAATGATCTTTCTGCCTCAGCCCCTAGGGTGCTGGAATTAACCAGTGTGACCTCCTGTTCCTGTCACTATAAGCCTTTCATAATGAAAAATTGTTACTGTTACCAAAAATTAGATGTCAAAAATAGTGCTGAATCAAGAGAGTTTACTACCTTTCAAAGCAATAGTTTATAAATAAAAATAATGCAGATGTTTTGATGCTTTTATTTTTTTAGGTCACCAAAGACCTTTAAGGTATTGCTGAAGGGCTTCCTGGCAACTTAGATGTAGATTATTTGATATATTTTCATCAAGAAGTCAGTTCCAGGCATTGAAGTGAATCTCTGAGTCTTTACCACAGCTATTCTCGATTTGACCATTCCAGTTGATCTTGGTTCAGTATGCTTTGTTAGTTTTCCTGTACAGATATTTGGGATAAATAATATCAGCACCTGTGAGAGTACAGGATTGGCTTGTGGTGAGGAAAGGACTTCTCGCATAAACCAGTCCCTGATTGCTAGCTATCAGTGGCTTTTATTCCTAAGCATCTTCTTCTACCTTAGCATCTTCTTTTATATTTGAAAACTGTGACCAGCTTTATAGTCCAGTCAGGAAGAAGGACTAACGTGCAAAGCCTGTATCTTATACATCATTCTCACTTCTTGATTTTTCTTCCCTAGCCTTGGGCTTTTTAGGTGAGGCGAAAGTCTCTGTGACTTTGAGTCGAAATGCTTTTGACAGATGATAGTACAGGATTGGATCAAAACACAAATTAGACACAGCCAGCAGCAGTGTGGCCTCTTTGGCTTTGAAGAGTGCAATGCGAGTTGAGCAATCGGATATGACCTCTGTCTGGCTGAGGGTGTATGGGATCCTGACAGCATGGTAAGGGACAAAACATATGATGTAACTAGCTGTCACCAAGAGAATGTTGAGCAGAGCTGATTTCACACTTGGGTAGTTTGCGGCATCTCTACTTCTGTAGAGTTGTCGGATTACAAGGAAGTTGGCTATCAGAATGATGGCTGAGAAATTTAAAAATATTGCCACGCATATGAAGTTTGTTAGCAAGTGCCAATTTCTTCCAAACTCCTTTTTAAACTCCATGCAACCTACATTCGGCTTCTCTTTGATGTCCTTGATGGGAAGCACCATGTTTGGCACCATTATAAGGAGGACCATGAGCCACACAACAGTTGATATCATTTTTGCAAACCCAGGTTCTTGTATTCGGTATATCTTGCAGCTGTGTGTTAACTGAAGACAGCGATCAATGCTGACAAAGGCTAAGAAGATAATAGATAAATACATATTGATGTAGATGAGGCAGGCTGTCACTTGGCAGTGGAATATCCTTAGCTTCCAGGGCGCCACACCCAAGTCAACAACGATTTTTACTGGCAATGCCAGAGTGAGCAGGAAGTCAGCTGTAAGCAAATTAATTAAGTATATGCTTACACATCTGTGATTTGTGGTTTTCTGTATAAAAGCCCACGTTGCGAAACAACTTCCAATAATTCCAATGAGGAAAACTAAATAAAAAAAGTATGTAAATGGTTCCAGATCTCTGTAAACTGGACAGAACATTGAACTGTTTGTCATGTTGAGGGAGTAGGTTGAGTTCAATAATTTAAAAAATCCTCACGGCTCTGTTAAAAAAAAAAAAGTAGAAGGAAGATGTTAGTAACTAAAGTCAGAAAATCCTTCTTAGAAACATTTATACTCTAGAATTATCACCATCTTTCTTGTTTTTAGGAAGAGTTTCATTGGGTAATGGGGACATCCTACATTATGAGAATCCAGGTTCTCCACTGCCTGATTCCTGTGACTTTCAGGAAATCCCATGTAAATTTGCTTTTTTGGAAGGGATATTTTTGACCTTGTGGTTTGTGTTGTGTAGCACTCTGTTACTGGTTGAGGGAGAAATTTCTTTGCAGAGGAGGTAAGTGACCAGAGGTTCTGGGAAGTTGAGAGAGGAAGATATTGTGGTTTTGTCTGAAAAAGATTGCAGTGTGGCTTTCTGCTTTTCTTTTAATAGCCTTTGTAGCTTATGCTGCAAGAACCTAGGCTGATGGTAGAAAAGAGAAGACAGCAAACTGCAGAGAGGTTTGCGCCGTTATCTTAAAAGTGGGCCCTCTGCTGCGAATCCCATTAGCATATCTTTAGAAATAAAAATTGCTCTTATTTTCAGTGGGAAGAATTGAAGGGTAAGACTCTTGTTCTGAATTGATGCCCCTGACCTCTGTCATCATGTACCAATTTATAATGGTATAAACCCGTGAAGGCCAGTGTTGTATCTGGGGAACACTTTAAAGGATGAACATATTAAAGATTCTATTTAACTGTCATATTTCATGTTGAGTACCCATGAAATATTTTTGTTACATTATGCTTGCTGTGTTAATGAAAATACTTTGTGCTTTTGTTTTTACTGTTTAAATTCACGTGGTAGAAAAACTTGTTGAACATAATGGCCGTAGCTATTTCTATGGACATGTTTTTGAATAGTTTTATGAAGGTACGTTTTAAAAGCTTCTAGAACATGGCCCTCTATTTATTTGTTACACATCTTTGTTACAACATCTTCCAGGAAAGGGTCAGTTACATCTGTATTAAAACATGTAACTTTTTTAGACCTGGAAATACTCATGTGTAATCCCAGCACTCAGGAGAAACACTAGTTTAAGATCACTCTTTGCTAAATGACAATGCCAGCCTGGTGTATACTCGAGACCTTGTTTCAATCTAAAGCAAAGCAAAACAAAAGAAAATCCCCTTCAAACTTTGACAGTAGAGCACCACCACAGTTGAGCCTGACAATGACAATAAGACCTTGTCATGGTCCTTTCAGGTAGTGAAAATACTGGCTTGATGTACGAGCTCAAGTTAAACCAAGCTCCCTCTGGAGATGTCTGCTCTTAACTCCCGTCTTTAGGACCACAGTGATACTTTGTGCTGTCCCTTTTGATGTGGCAGTCCCTTTTCATATCAAACAATATTCTTTTGTTTTAAAGGCAGGGTCAAAAATACCACTTCCAGAATGTGAATCTACATGGAATTCCCTGAAAAATCCCAGAAACCAGAGAGTATAGAACCTGGGCTTCTCATGCTTTAATGTTTTATCGGGAACAAAGTCTTACGCAGTGTTCCAGGACATTGCAAGTTTACTGACAGCGGAGTGGCTCAGCAGCTGTAAAGTCTTTCTCTAAAACAAACAACTTCTGAAGTTACTAAGCTTTAACTTTTCAAAATATTTAATGTATGTATCTGCATTTTTATTTTTTCATTATTATGCCGTGTTCATGCTGTCTGGCTGTGAGCATGCTTCTGTGTGCATGTGGAGGTCAGTGGACAGCTTGGGGAGTCAGTTTTCTCCTTTCTGCTTGTCTGACTGCTAGAACTCAGGACTACCTACAAACCTAACTTACACATTCACTGGCTGAGCTGCCTCATGGCTCTGCTGTGTTTATCTTGAAGTGATGCAAAGTGTGAATTTTCTTAAGGGTCTTAAAGGTTATAAGCTGTTCCCATTTCCCCAGAAGACTTAGAGCACTTCCGGTCCCCAGATATTGCCATTCTGTACCAGCCTTAATGAAAATTGTAAAGTACTTACCATTTATATTAGTTGACTACACATTTTTGCTTAAAGAAAAACATTTTATGTGTCCTGTTGGTTTTTTGTTAGAATCTTCAATCCACTTAAGCATGTGGTAGAATTTTAGAAGCATAGCACTTTAATGATAGATGCATTCTTTATTGATGACTATTGACCAGTCCTCAAATCAATTGAGACTGCAAAGTGTTCCGGATTTCTGCAGCCTTTATCCTTTTTGCTTTTTCTGAGTCTTGCCTATCGACCTGTGGGCCCGAGGGAGACTCCTCCTGTCTGAATGCCACTCCAGGCTTCTCTGGCTTCCTTAGAGGCATTTCAGATGTTATATGGTATCAGTAAAATAGTTATTTGTTTCTGTGAGTGCCCTATTGCCTGGATAACTATATGGCCAGCTCTCGTTTTATTGGTGAAGAGAAGCATTATTATAGTTTGTCCTGATTGATATTCTCTGTAATTAGATCTGACCATCTGTTCCTGAGTGGAGTAACTTTAAATAGTTACAGTGTAACCACTCGTTCAGTAATGCTGAAAAGTCTTGAGTGATGTGTATTTGCTTTTATTAAATTGTGTCTAGAGTGCCAGGAAAAATAGTTTCTCAAAATTTTGCATATATTGATCTGAGGCAAAATTGTACTATAGCAGGCATCCCCATGTTCTCTGTCATAAATCTGAAATCCAAGAGCTTGTAAACACTGTGGCAACAGTGTCCATACAAAGCAGGTGTGCTCTGCAGTACTCCAGCAAAATCAAGAACAGATTTTAAGTGTCTCTGTGGTCCTTTCTCATAGGTTGCTCATTCCTTAGGGTGTAAAACAAAACAAAAATTTAAACTAAATGAAAACTTAGAAGGTTTTCCACGGGAGTCCTTGTGGACATGCTTTGAAATTTGCTAATGTAAGACTGGTAGAAAGGAAAGTCTGGTTAAGACCTGTTGGGGAGATAAAACATGGCCTCACCTATCATCAGCTTAGCTAGATAACAGTTGCTCAAGTTACCCTTGTCTGAGTAGAAATGAGTCTAATTTGAATTGTAGCGTTTAAAAGACGGATGAGATCAAGAGAAAGCAGGAAATGCTGTTAGAAGCTCACAGCTCAGGTCTAATTACAGTTTAATAGTGGTTGCCTTACCATCCCAAAGGCTTCTAACTTTTGATTCTTTCTCCTTCAATACAGAAAATCCTGACTTTGGTTTATATGGGAAAAACAATGGAGTGAGCTCATTGATAAGGACATACCTGGTTGTGTCTTCTCTGACCTGAGCAGGCCTGGGTCCTGGCTGTCTTCTCTGGCCTGAGCAAGCCTAGGTCCTGGCTATCTTCTCTGGCCTAAGCAAGGCTGGGTCCTGGCTGTCTTCTCTGGCCTGAGCAGGCCTGGGTCCAGATCTTCAGAGAATCATGAACTATTTAGTTACGCACAGTGACAGTAGTTCCATCTTGCAGGGTTGCCTGCTGAACTAAAAATTTCCTTTCCTTCTTGTGTGGTTTTAAAATGCTAGTGATTGACGTAGATGAAACTGTGGTTTGCAAATGGTTTAAACTGTATGAAAGTCTCCTGAGGAAGTTTTTGTAAGAAAACAATTTCATTTATCTAAGTAACTCAAATTTGTCAGTTACTGTTTTAGGGAAAATTATTTTCATTTATCCATTATAATATCTTGCCTCTTTTGTTTTTTAAATAAAAGTACCCCATGCTGTACTGTTTTCATAATAGTTTTAAAAAAATAGTGTTAAAATCTTGAAAATGGTGTTGAGTTTATGAATTGAGACACTAAGGTACTTAAACAGATATTGTTTAGTATAGTTGCTAACACCAGTACTTCAGAGATAGAGAAGTTACAATGCCTCTTGTATTGTTGTTAAATGTGACCAGTTATTCAGACTCAATCATGGATTGGTCTAGAAATCAATCCAGTATTGGAAATACCAGTCTTCATTTGGAAGTCTGGTTCTGGACATTTTCAGAGACATATATTGAAATTAGCTGCAGTTCTCTGTGATGTTAGCAAGAGATAAAGTTGGGACAGGATCTGGATTTCAAACAGGTGTTAGCACATGTGTTAAGGTTCTTTTAATTGTCAAATTAAAAATACTTTTGTTTCTTCTACAGTATTTAATGTAAGTTGCATTGATTGTACACATTCTAATTGTGTTTTGAAATCTGGCATGTCAGTTATAGAGCTTTTGTTTTAGTGCCCTGAGTATCACAAAACCTTGGTATTCTAAAAATAGCTTGCAAGTACTGGAAGAAGTGAGTCAGGCTTTAAGCAGAAGCAAGAGGGTAGTGGGCTTGATTATTACTGGTATAACAGCTTTAATTACATTAATTGCTGGCACCACTGCTTCTACAATTGCTGTGACACAAGAAGTTAAGACAGCTACTTTTGTTAATCATTTAGCAAAAAATGTTACTAATGTGTTGAATATACAAGAGGATTTAGATAGGCATTTGGAAGAACAGATTGATGCTCTTATCCTATTCAAATTACTGGAAGAGGAGGTTCAGAATTTAAGGGTAAGGAGCCATCTTGAGTGTCATGTCAAATACCATTGGATTGATGTTAGTTCTAAAATTTACACTGGTGGTCATTATAATTAGGAAGAAGTTTAAAGACACTTGCAGTGTATTTGGCACCATTTTACCCATTGAGCCATCTTGCCAACTCCAGTTTCAGAAAAATTTTAAAATAATATAAAAGAACATCATGAGAACAACAGAGAGATAACTACTATTCTTTTTTTTATACCTTTTTTTTTCTGTTTTCATAAACCCACATAAATGTGATTGTGCTGTAGCCTCTGTATGAGATACATTTGCATGAAATAAAGTGTGTGTCCATGAGACGGAAAGAGAATTTAGGGATAGAGTTGGTTGCAAGTTGTGTAGTAAATAGACTTAGTGTGATATGAAGGAAAATTGGGAGAAAATGTTTCTGGTGAGGCTTTACTTTGCTTTGGATCAACTTTTGACCTTTCACTTTATTTTGAGGAGGTTATATCTGTTTGCTTCCTTGCTTCCCTTTAGGTTTAGATGATCAAAAAGTGCAAGCAGCTAACTGTTGCTACAGCTGGAAGACCACCATTTATGTATGGGTTGTGAAATGTGAGGGAGCTGAAGCGCCCTGGTTCTCCATCCCTGCCCTTCGTTTCTAGAGCAGTGATAGCTCATCTGTTTGGTTTTTTGTGTTTATGAGATAGGATCGTGCCATATAAACCTCAGACTGACAGGAATCCTCCTACTCGAGCCTCCCCACTACTAAGATCACTGGTATGTGTCACCATGCCTGTCTGGAGTTGACTTTGTTATAGTGCAACTAAGTTTTTTTTATTTTATTTTATTTTATTTCATTTTTTGTTTTGAGACATGGTCTCATTATACAGCCTGGCTGGCTTTAAGCTCCGGATCCCATTGCCTCCTGGCATTACTGGTTTATCTGCATTCTCATCTGGAGAATAAGTTCTTACATTTGGGTTGTTGGAAGAATATTTTTCCTCTATTGCCCTTTTGATTTAATATTTATTTTTTGAGTATTTCATGCATGGGTACTGTATCTATATCATTTGAACCCCTCTGTCTTTCTGATCTAACTCCTCCTGTGTCCCCGTTCATCTCTAATTCATGGCTTCTTCTTTAATAATTATTTGACACACACCTGTATCATCACATTTGACACACTCCTGGATCCACCTTGTAAATGTACATTTTAAAGCTGATTGCTTTGGATTAGAATTTATCAGGAAGCTCATCCCCTGGGAACACCAAACTTTCCTCCTGAAGCAGTCACTAATGCCCTGTATTTCTTTATCTGTTGGTGGGGACTGGTGAGATTTTCCCCAGCTACACTGATACTGCAACTGGTGGTGTCACTGTGAGTACAGCTTCCTTGTCATATATCAAAGACACCATCCCCCAGCAGATGTCCTGGTCCTCTGGCACTTACAATCTCTCCACCTCCTCTTCTGAGATGCTCCCTGAGCTTTAG